TAGGGCCATTTCCTTAATCCTACTCCCTGCCCCTAGGGTTCAGTGAAGAAAGGCATCTAACAGGCTCCTCACAGAAACCAATGCCCTGATGACAACAGTGCCCTTCTCCAACTATCAGAATGAGGAAAATTGACTCCTAATTTTTTTTCTTCACTTCATGCTTCCCATCTTGCACTGGGAGGGCCAGAAAGATAGTCCTTCTAAGCTTCTACAGTTTTTCACTTGGATTGAAGAGGTTTAGGGGCATGGTTATTTTATGGAAGATATAACAAGCATTAAGTCTAACTGCAAAGGTAACTGCCACCAGATTCCCTTCATTAATTAATTATGCTGATGAGTATAATTAACAATAATTATTTTTATAATACCTAACATTTATGTCATGATTTAAGTTTTACAAAGGGCTCTGCATCTTTTAGGCATTTTGTTCAAATAGTGATGGTGGATTTGCAGTAACTCATCCAGTCTCTTACCAAATCTCTCTTTTGGCCAAGGTGCACATTGGTTAAGAATTCTTGTTCAGCTCAGGACTGTGACAACCAACTAAAACCAGGTATTCAATATGACTCATTCAGAAGGTGAAGCCTTTTTAACCCATCTGTCTTTTCTCCTCCCTCAAGTTTTAGTAAGCTCTTCTGGACACATTCAGGGTGTCCCAAAGATATTAGTGCCATTTTAACTTTTGAAGCTATTTAAACTTAAAACCGCACTAAGACTTTTAAGATACCCTGTAAATTGACAACTGAAGAATCTGTCATGTCTTGGACACAGGACCAATGACATCAATAATGCAAACTACATTCACACCGGGTAGTAATTTGGAAGGGAACAACAATACATAGCCCAAGAGCGATACTTTGTGTCATACCTAGAAGTATCTGCAGGAACTACCGTCCCTGGCCTTGTACTTTTGACTCCACTTCCCCAAGCTGTACTTTCTCCTCTCCACAGAAAAGCAGGGGGTTGGGTGAAAGCCTGAAGGAATCACTGAAAGGTACAAGAACCTTTGCCTTGTCACCAATGTGCCTCCTCTTCTACCAGAAACTCAGCTCCTTCCATTTCAGTTCTGATGTGTAACCAGAAAACCAATCTTCAGTACTGATAGTCCGTACAGGACAGAGGGCTGACCTAGCTTAGGAATGGACATTTTGTACTGACTAGCAGGGCAGCACAGGGTGGTAAATCACCTTTTTCCTACCCTCTTGATGACCTTTATTAATAGAATTAAGTTACAAGGTTTTCTGGCTGTGATTTAAAGGACTACTCTCCCTGATTTTGATGTGGGCAAGGTGAGAAGGGTATACAATTTAAAAGACATTTCTTTCTCATTTCTTTTTTTCTCTCTTTCTCTTTTCCTTTTCTTTTTCCTTCCCTTTTTCTTTCTTTCTTTTCTTTTCTTTTCTTTCTTTTTTTTTTGGAAACCGGCTGAGAAGTCTGTGTCCTCAACTTCAAAGGGCCAGTTGTCTTATTTTGATGTGGGCAGATTGAGAAGTAGGCTTTGAAAAGTAGGCTTTTTTTTTTTTTTTTTGTTTAATGTTTTCTCCTGGGATAGCTTTCAGAGCAATATATCCAAGTGTCAGCGAGGGGATCTGATGAGCACGGATTCCCAGCCTCTCAGCAGGATCATTCTCTAACTGAAATATAAAAGTGAAATATTAAAAACCCTGGAACGTGAAATCCGTCTGCAGACTAGCCAGTGTCTTGCTTGCTTGCACCATGGGAAAAAAAGATCTACTTGAAAAAGGAGGGAGGAGAAAAAAATGCTTTGAGTAAGAGGTTTACAGGTTTAGTAGAGCATAGTAACATCCCCTCAAAGAAGTGGGTGTTGCCCTGTGACCCCCCAAAATGCTCCTCCTTTGACTCAGTCGATAGAACACTCACCCTTCCCCCCTCCCCCCACCCCTTTCACATGCTAACTGAGGCTCTTGTGATTGGCTGAACAATAAACTGGTCACACTTGCTAAAGGACTGCCATCTTTCACACAATTAGCCAAGACACATTAATCAAACTGGCGGGGAGAACTGGGAATGTGTGTTGTCTCCAGAACTAACCAGTCTGTGGTGGGGGGAGGGGAACAGGACTGGAGAAGAATTTGGGTTTTCTTTAATTTAAAGTATTAGGAGTTGGCAGGAAATAAACAAAGATGCCGTGGAGTAGGAATGAGAGTCAATTATCTTAAATTTTGAAGATGTTAAAAATCTAAATAATTCTAGGAGAAACAGGGGGATAGGTGGGTGCTGGGAGGCTGGTTGCTTATGGCATAAAGAGCTCCAGGTGTTCAGAGCAAGCTGAAACTTTTTCCTCATTAAAATTTGCTAATATAGAATTTTGGTACAGTATTAATTTAACTTTGGGACTTCTAAGCCCCCTCCCCCCCTTTTTCTTTTTACAAAGTACCTCCCCCTACCCTTTTCCCCAAGGAATATCCTGGCTTTGTACTTTGGGATCACCTCTCCTTTGGGGATCAAGAGGGTTCATTCCAATAGGAAATATGGCTCTCAGTACATTATACATTTGAGAAGTATTATTGATCTGATCATGGCTTACATAGAGACTGGAAGAACCAGTTAGAACTAATAAAGAGAAAGTCTAAAGTAAAAGGTTGCTGATCTCAAACTAAGCAACTTGCCTTTCTTGGGAATATGAAAAACAGTTCAACTTTGAGAGAAAATTAGGATGGGTTTTTTTAAAAAATTATTATTATTTACACTTCAGTGGTCTGGTGTCCAGCTCTCATTTTCCAAATTTCCTTTCCTATGGCATTTTAGTCCAGATTCCATCCTGACAATTGACCCAGTTTTGCCAGCCAAATGTGGGGGCAGTCTGAAGATGCTTCCAAGGGTTTAGCAGCCTCTAACCAACCAAAGCTTACCAGCCTTTTGCAGAGTGTACTGTCACTATCCCATATGTGAATCTTCTTTGGTAAAGAAAGTCCCTTTTTCTTCCTACCTAATTCCAGCACAGTTGCAGTTTTTATTTGTACTCACTTGTTTTGTCCGACTTCTTTTGCTTCCTCTGAAAGGGTTGGTAGTGGCTCTGTTTGCTTCCTTAAACATGGTTTTTGAAAGCTCTCATGCTGTGTGAGCTCAAATCCTAGCATTAATGTACTGCTGTGTTCATTTCACCACACTCAAAAGCACTGAATTTAAATCCCTCTCAATTCCATTCGTGGTACCAGAAGACTTTATCCTTCTCCACTAATGGTTCCAAGTTTACATCTAGATAGTGGGGGTCAAGGACAGGAGAGGATTTAGAAATAACAGTGAATGACATTAGTCAATGCATTTGCCAAATTGGCAATTAGTTCCTGATGTGTACAAAGCATTTTATTCCTGTCTCTTTGATGCTTGTTCCCATAGGGAAGGGAGTAGAGTCCAGGGAGTCCTTGGAACTTTTAAAGGAGTATCTGCTGCTGAAGTCATGACTGATTGGAGGCATGAGTTCAGCAACAGGGGAGCATCCGGGATTATCCTGGTTGGTGCTCTTTCAGTTGTTAGAAGAAGGAAACCTTCATCCTGGAAGTTTTCAAATGGGAAGAATTTGGTGGAAATCCGAAGGCCTGGAAACAGTCTTTACAAAAGGCTCTGCAGGGACTGAGAATCAAATGTATTAGAGGAAGGCAAAGGGAATCCTACCTACAGCAAGCTCCCAGATTCCTTTCTTGTGTTTTCAGCTTTCCACCACAAGATGGAAGCAAGAAATAGCCAGCAGCTTCCAAATAGTATCAGATGGCAGCTTGTCAAAGTGACATAGCCTCCACTCTCAGAAGGTTCAGTTTTGATCTGAATTCCAATATGGATGCTTCACTCTCCATAGAATAGATAAAGATTGAAATTTAAAATGATGAAAGTTCCTATTGTGATGATAAAGAGCTATAATGCTTTGAGCCCAAAGGGTTTGGACCATCTCTGTATGTGGTTGTACATGTGAATGTGATCAGACTTGTAGCTCCCAAGCTGCCTAATAGCTGTCTGGAATGGTGTATTAGTACGGTGGTATTCACGGACACCAGAACTATGCTATTTTAACTACGGGCACTAATTAATAGCAAGAAGTTATCACAGTGAATAGTAGTTCAAGATCCAAAAGACTCTCCATGCTATTTATCCTTCTCTAACCTCTCTGATGACCTCCAGACTTGCATCAATGAATGCCAATTAGACATCTGGAACTAGATATCTAATAGACATCTTACACTTGCCATGTCCGAAACTGAACTTGTTATCTTTTCTCCCAAACCCTCTCCTCTTCCTTGCTTCGCTATTGCTGCTGAGGGTGCAACCCTTTTCCCAGTCATCAAGGCTCAAAACCTTGGTGTCATCCTTGACTCCTCTCTTTCTCTCACCCCCATCCAATCAGTTACCAAGGCCTTTTGATTTTACCTTTGTAACATCTCTCACATACATCTCCTTCTTTCTTGAGGCACTGCCACCACCATGGTGTTGGTTCTCATCTTCTCACACTATAGCAATAGCCTGTTTGTTGGTTGGTTGTCTTCCATGAGTGTCTCCTCACTCCAGTCCATCCTCCACTCAACTTTCAAAATGATTTTCCTAAATTCAAGATCTAACCATGTCACAAACACTGCCCCCCCCAATAAACCACAATCACTTCAGGATCAGATATAAATATCCTCCTTGGCACTCAAAGCCTTTTATAATCTAAGCACCCCTCAGCTTTCCAGTCTTCTTACACCTTGCCACCCTGCCCCCCAACTCTGGTGTTTATTCTGCAATCCAGGGACATTGGCCTCCTTGGCATTCCTCAAAAAAGAGACACTGTCTCCAGAATCTAGATATTTTCACTGGTTGCCCCCATACCTGGAATGCTCTTCTTCCTCACCTCTGCCTCCTGGCTTCCCTAATCTTCTTCTTCTTCTGGGTGAGGTAATTGGGGTTAAGTGACTTGCCCAGAGTCTCACGGTTAAGTTCGGATTTGAACTCAGGTCCTCCTGACTCCACGGCTGGTACTCTATCCACTGCACCGCCTAGCTGCCCCCCAAAACATGGAATGCTTCGCGAATTTGCTTGTCATCCTTGCGCAGGGGCCATGCTAATCTCTGTATCGTTCCAATTTTAATATATGTGCTGCCAAAGCCAGCACCCTAGCTTTCTCCAAGTCCCAACTAAAATCCCATTTTCCACAAGAGGCCTTCCCGATCCCCTTTAATTCTGGTGCCTTCCCTCTGTTTGTTATTGTTTGCATGTTGTTTCCCCTGTAAGTCTGTGAGCCCTTTGAGAATTGGGACTCTCTTTTGCCTTTGTATGTATCCTCAGCACTTAGCACAATGCCTACATCGACAGAGCAGACTCTTAATAAGTGTTTATTGACTAACAGAAGGATTTTTAACAAGCTAGAACATTGTAATATAATATTCTATCATAAAATGAAATTCAATAGGGATAAATGTAAAGGCTTGTATTTGGGTTAAAAAAAAAAAACAATTTCACAGGTGAAAGATAGGGTGGGAAGCAGAGACAGTAGTTGTTTTGAAAAAGGATCTAGAGATTTTCGTGGGGTCTTAGTGGATTATAAGCTCATTATGAGGCCACAGTGTGACGTGGTGGCCAAAAAACTTAATGTGATTTGAAACTAGATAGGGAGGTAGGAGCCCCACTATAGTCTGACCTCATTTGGAGTACTGTGTTCATTCTGAGCATCATGGTTTAAGAAGGGCATTGATAAGCCAAAGAGTATCCAGAGGAGGGCAACTAGGATGATAGAGGGCCTTGAGTCTGTGATATATAAGGATCAATTGAAGGAAAGGGGGATGTTTAACCTGGAGAAGAGAAGCCTGGGGTCATAGTGGTGGTGGTGGTGGTGGTGGAAAGTATTTGAAGGACTGGTTGGAGAAGAAGGTTTAGACTAGTTCTGTTTGTCCCCAGAAGGTAGAACCAGGAACAACAGGTAGAAGATACAGAAGCAAATTTAAGTTTGATGTCAGAAAAAAATGAATTCCTAATGATTAGAGTTATCTAACAGGGGAATGGCCTCCCTGGAGAGATAGTTCCTCTTCCTTGGAGGTCTTTAAGCATAGGCTGGATGACAATTTGTCAGATATGTTACAGTGGGGATTCTTTTCATATATAAGTTGGACTAGATGGCCTCTAAGAACCCCTCCAATTCTTAAACTCTGTGATTCCATAAGTCATATAATGCTACTAGGAAATCCAAATCTTCTTGCCTGGTGGGGAAATTTAGTATTTTGGGTGGCTTGCTTGAGATCTGATGCCTCCAAGTACTTCTATCTTATTTCACTCCCCTCAGTTCCTGCCTTCCAAGTTAGTGCCTTGCCAGTCACTGGAAGTCAACTCTTCTGCCTCTGGACTACTGACATTATTTTTGTCAGTCCTTGCCTTGGTCTAAAACAGGGGTGCTTAACCTTTTTTGTGCCCTGGACCTCTCTGTCAGCCTAGTGAAGCCTAGGAATGGCTTCTCAGAATAGTATTTTTAAATGCATAAAATAAAATATATAGGAAGACAAAGGAAACCAATTATATTTAAATACAGTTGTCAATATATCTTTTTTTTTTAAAAATTCATAGTCTTTGGGTTACAACCCCTAGTAAACCTTGACTGAATTTTTTAAGCCAGTCTGATATCCCAGGCTTTAAATCTCAACACCAAATCAATTTGAGTAGCTGATAATTTTGTCTCCACCCTCTTTTGATGATCCCATGCAGCTAATTAGTTGACCTCCCTCCTGTCACCCTGATCCAAATTTTGTGAAGATCATGGCAAATGAAACTTTGTCCTAGCTTGGGTTCCTTTGGAAGGAGCTCTAATTTTGCTAGACATTCTGAGTTCCATAGGCTGCTCACTATGAGTAAACTTCATCTGTCCACTCTTCTCTCTCTCTCTCTCTCTCTCTCTCTCTCTGTGTTGCTATTCATTATTTTCTTTTCTACATTTTGCTAAGCATCGGGGAGGTAACAGGTGAATATTCTAAAATCACATGTATTATCATCATCTAAAACATTTGTTGAGTCCTCACTATACTAAGTGCTCTTAAAAAGAGCATCTATAAAAAAAAAATTTTGTTTTGGTCATTTAAGGCAAGATAGCCTAAATCTTAGGATCAGAAAACCCACTTTATGATTTGTTCCCTTCAGCCCACACTTGCTTTTGGAATCTATGTCCTAATGTGATTAAGACATTTTGGTAACAAGTTTCTAAAATGCCCTATCAGTAGAATCAGTTTTCTGTACTTGACTTAGAATTCTAGCAGCCTTCCCTCCTAGATGCTAATGAAGGTCCCAGCATTTGAGATGCTATGAACCATGATTGGGCTCATTACTATTTCAGTCTTAGAGCTTAGCAAAAAAGCTCCTGGGGAGTTACTATTAACATCTTTATTAACCCATTCCCCAAATCAGTCACTGAAATTAATTTAGATACACATTCTACTTTGATCTTCATTAATAGTTTCTCCTAGTCCCTACATTTATTTTTAGTTTTCTCATCTTTAATTTATCTGGTGGCAATTATTAGTTTATAGTGAGTAGAAATACATGATCTTAGAGTTGGGAAAAAATAGTAGTAAATCAAAAGCAGGTAAAATGATTTTATGGAGAAAACAGTCAAGTTCTTTCATAGCCGAGGGAGGTGCTTTGGGCCTAAACTATAGTGCTGTTTCAATTTCCAAGATAGCTTCCATGCTCGATTAAACTCTAAAATAAAGAAATATCTTCAAATGGACCGCTCAGTGTTATATTAAAGACATTTTAATAGTGTTTTGATAAATGTACCTTCATTACTCCCATCAAATAAAATTTGATTCAACAAATATTTTTAAGTGCTTACTGTATATGTGACCATGGGCAAGACAGAATATTTTCTTAAAGCTGAGATAGCGCTATGAAAATATGTGGCCTGTTTGTGTCTATCACAGCAACTACTATCTTTCTTGAGTAGATGGGCTTCCTTGCCCTTTGGATGAAAGGGACTGTATTATTATGCACTGGAATTGTTTAGCATTACCAAGGCTTATCGTCTCTTCTTGTGTGGTCAGGATGCCAAAATATTCACAGGCCACTTCGAGGAAGGTCTTATCATTTGCTCATCTGTAAAATGGAGATGCTGGACTTGATGATTTCTGATGTCCTTTTCATTTCTAAATTTATGGTCCTATCATCCATAAACCACTGTTCTGGGCCCTGGGGCTACAAAGACAAAAGGAGAATAGCCCCTGTCCTCAAGAAGTTTACATTTGGCCATCAAAATTTGCAATTTTTCAACTGATTAAAAAAAAAAAATTTGTCAGGAGGACCTGAGTTCAAATCTGGCCTCAGACACATGATACTCACTAGCTATGTGACCTTGGGCAAGTCACTTAACCCCAATTGCCTTGCCAAAAGAAATTTGTGGAATAAATGGACTTTTAGCTGTTGTGATGTGTCCAAGAGTTAGTCTGGTTCCTGAGAGTGTCCCTATGTTAAAAGGCAGGATTCCCTTTTGGAAGGCAACAGGGATGCCTGGGTATTCTACCTAGGATTCCTCCTCATCTCCCCATCCCTTGAACAGGTGGGATCACAAGCTAGAAAGGATCTCACAGTTCATCTAGTCCAATCCCTTCATTTTACAGATGATGAAAATGAGACCCAAAGACACTATGGTCACTCAGTAAACAGGAGAGCCAGGATTCACACCCACATCCTCTGACTTTGAATCCAGTATCCTTTCTACTATACTGTATGGGGACATAGAAGCAACTTTCAAGTCCTTAGTTATATTTCATGAGTTTCCCAATACAAACAGCCACTTTCTGATGCCCTAAGAAAGTTGATTTTAAATCTTCGGAGGAAAATGTAGACATGAGTGCCCAATCTCCATTCCAAAGGATACCTTCCTCAATGTGACCTGAGAATACTTTGGCATTCTGACCATACAAGAAGAGACTAGAAGCATTGGAGTTGCCAAACAATCCCATCTACTCAAGAAAGACAGCAACTGCTATGGCAGACACAAACCGGCCACATGTTTTCATAGTGCTTCCTCAGCTTTAGCAAAAAATTCTGATATGCATACACATATGCACTTTACATTGGTTTAAAGGGTTGGTTTTTTCTTTAAGTTACTATTTAAGATAGCCAAGGAAAAGCAGGAAAATTATCAACTGCTCAAATATGTGGTATCTCAAGAATATCTTGTATTTGAGAAATACTGGGAGACATCGTTTAGCAAGATAACCCTCGTGCTATTGTGACAAGACCATAGTAACTGGAAAATGTTTTAAGCAGAGTCCAAACAGTGATGTTCTGGTAACGTTAGCCACTAATCAGCAAGTGTTTGTTGACTAAGCAGTAACCATGTTTCCATTGATTCTGATTTTGACTTCATTAAACATTTATATAAAATATAGCCTTTTGTTATGGCAGCAACAGTCCTGCCCTTGTTTTAATTTTAGTGTTCTAATCAAGGCTTTCAGCTGTAGACTGGTTCCCTTTTGGAAATTTCTGATGTCCCTCCTCAGAATTTCCATTGGACTCAGTGGGAATCCTTCTAAAAAAGATTTGGAAGGTAAAGGAAAGGGAGTAAAAGTCTTCTACCAATGATTTACTACAAAATAGTTGTGATAGTAGAGAAGAGGAGGCCACACATAGACCTGTTATTTTTAGAAGATGTTGAAAACAGAAGAATCAATTCCTCCTGGAATGGTACTGGGTAAAACACTTATCTGTTTGGGGAGCATTCTTTCATTGATTCGAGCTGTTTAACTATAGGAAAAATCAATATGGGAGATGCAAGGTCACTTTGTGTCGGGTTATCTGCATGGGAGTGGGAGAGTGCGCTAGTGCAAGACAAAAGCTTTGGGATTTAAAAGACTTGATTGTGCTTCCCAGATCTTGGACAGGTCAATTTCTCTATGCCTCAGTTTATCCACGTATGAGACAGACCTAAAAGGAAAACATTTCATAGTTAATTGGGCAACTGAGAAATATTTATTCAGCCCCTGCTATGTGCAAGAGACTATGCTTTGGGATCCAAAAGTGTAATTTCAGGAAGCATTTAATCATCATCAGGAAACATAAAACCTTCCTTTTGCTGATAGAATTTATGAGAATTGGGTTCTGCTTTTGATATCATGCTTCCATTTCATTAGA